TGTATGAAAATGCAGAGGCCCGTGCATATCTCGACGAGAATCTTGAGGCCATGTCCGAGCGACTCGAGGTGCTGACGGCAGGACAGAGAAAGAATGCAAAAGTCAAGAATCCTGTCTCAGTTCTGGAACTACCTGTGTTTATGATGGAATACAAGAAGCAGGATACAGATATTGGCAAGGGAGAAAATCAGCACAGGCTGGCTTGCACATCGGCAGCAACATTTCTTGACGTGCTGGGGCTGACCAAAAAGCCTGTTTTCAGTGGACTTACTAATGGCCCGAGAGTTGCACTTGCGGCTGCTTGGAGTAATGATGGAGTGAGCTGCATTCAGTCTAATTGCTTTGTCCTTGCTGATCGGCTTGCCATCGTTAGTTCATAGAAATTTTCGAGCGGCAGACTCGTACCATGGACATCTCTATGGCGTTGGGAGCCTTCCAGTTTGCCAGCGTCCTAGCCAGACTTGCTATTGTTTATTCAAAGGATCTCGTGGATACTTTTGATGAGGTGTCCAAACCTCTTCTCATCAAACAACTCAATGATCGGGAGTTCGAGAAGCCTGACAGCAAGCTGCAGTGGAAACAACTTGTGCCTCTCAAATCCGAGAGAGGAGAATTCGAAAATGTTACAGGACAGTCAGTTTGGACATCTGAAATGGAAGAGACTTCAGTTCAGTAAGGCCAATGGTATTTGATGAAGGCAGCTCATGTGAACATATATACTAGGCACAATAGATATATATATTAAAATCACCAGTAGCACAGTAGATGTTTCAATCAAGAATGAGCACATTTGACCTCAAGAGATGAGTGAGGATGAGGCAATCATGTAAGGAATACAAACACAAAAGTATGGCATAAGTACTTGATCGACAAACTCTAACCCTCTTCAGCTTGCAAGCTCACTCATCACCCAGAAATAAACTTGCCAAATGTTGGAGCATAGTATTTACTCAATAGTGCCTTTAAGGCGTGTTGTATAGTCTAGTAATTTGGCGCATTAATATTTGGCAAAACATAGCTTTTGTGCAAATAATTTCAGACTGATTGGCACTGGGTATGTCAGATGCATCCAGTCACATGAACCAAATTCTCTAGTCCCATCTCCCCTTATGAACGAACCTCCCTCATCATCATCCTCCCATTTGACATCATCGTACTGCTCGATGCTGCCCCTATTGAGCTCACCTTTTTCTGGTCTCCATTTACAACTCACCCATTATTTCAGCCATCTTCCTTCTCTTTTCTTCTGCCTTTAAGCTTAACCCTGCTCACCTTCCTTCTCTACACTGCCTGTGTTTGCCCCGACTGTCTATATTCTGTGCTGTCTTTTGACATTGGCATTTACTTTCCTCTGATTGCTTCACAATTTATCCAGCCGTCTATAAGGCAGCCTTTGACTTACACTAGGTTTCTTGCAGTTTTTGCTCACTTTCAGTGTCAGTGCTTCTCGATTCGGGTGCAATGTACCATTCCTCCTTACAGTCTTTGTGATTTGCAGTAGCAGTGTAACACCATCCTGCCAGACCATTAGGTAGAGAGACCTCAATCTTGCTTCAACCTGACTACTGTGACAATTGCTGAGGTCAATTATATGTCGAGTCTCATCTGCGGTGAGCAAGTCCTGTCAAGTTATTCATGTGCAGTGTTGCCTGAGCAACGGTACTACTAATGCTTTTATGTCCAGTCAACTTGTGTTATGCGAGCTGGAGCAAGACTGATAAGTACTGTGAGTTTGACCTCCTTTTCATGGTGTGCACTCATGGTTACTTTTCTCATGCATATGCATGCAGTTACCACTTGCTCTATCAAGGAGTGTGTGCTAATGGAGTTTGTTCACAGAGTAAAAGCAGAGAAAGACCTGTGCAGAGACAGTGATGTCAGTTATGGGTGATAATAAATTATGCTAGTTAACAGCATGAGAGGATAAGCAGGCTCCTAAGTTAGCAAAGGATAATCTTTGAATGTCTGAAAATAATCTTTGAGATAATCCTAAGGATGATCCAAAGGATTATCTGAGTTTAAAAGATATTTTTTAAGTTGTCACCAGTCAGGATTGGACCCTCAACCTTGAGAGAAAGTCACATGATCAACTGACACTAGACACTTTAGCCACTACACCATATCAGCTTATAAACTTACTCTCATATATCATACATATAAGAGATTTTGCTAAAGAGACTTAGGCAAATTCTGTTTATAAGTGCATAATTGAATGAAATACAATAGTAGCATTTCATACAGTCTATACTGCTGTGTATATGTTATAAACTACTGTTCACCTTATAGATACCATTAAAGTTCCATTCTCTAAACTTAAAATTTATGACTATAGTCTTTTTATAAAAGATGAGATCACAATGTGATTGAATTGTAAAGTATGTACTGAAAATGTTATTATAAACATGCTTTGCCTTGTGTTTAACTTAGCTACTCTCTTATGATAGGCAGAACTTGTCTAAGCCTCTTTAGCAAAATCTTTTATATATATTATACATGAGAGTAAGTTTATAAGCTGATATGGTGTAGTGGCTAAAGTGTCTAGTGTCAGTTAATCATGTGACTTTCTCTCAAGGTTGAGGGTCCAATCCTGACTGGTGACAACTTAAAAAATATCTTTTAAACTCAGATAATCCTTTAGATCATCCTTAGGATTATCTTGAGATAATTCTCCAGTTTAAAGGCTTGCTAATAAGATAACCCTGGAAGAGGTCTGCTAAGTAAGGAGTCTGCTAATCTTAAAGGTCTGTTAATTAACAGTATATATTATCTTTCATAAATGACAATGATGCATCTTGATGCTGCTATAGAGTGTTGTTAGATGGATGTAGCAGTACTACCATCAGCTATTCGTGTCCAGCAAGCAGTGCCTTTTAGTTTTACCAGCAGATCTGAAGCAACAATTGATGTCCTTTCCTGCCCAAAATGTCACCATCATCGCCGTTCCATTGGCCCTGACATTGTGAGCCTTGATATCTTCAATTGGAACAACATGTACCTGTTTATGCATGAGTTGTTGAATGCATTCACAAGTGCTTTCACTGCATTGGAAACACCTTTTTCCACATTCTGCCTTACCACGCGATGCAGCTATGAGGATAATTCCTCAGAGATGCATTTCTGCTCAGATGAAACATTTGTACAAGTATGGTCTGCTTTCATTCACTTGCAGTGCATTGATAGCGAGATGCACTGTCCAACATGTGGTCCATCTCCCAGCATAATTATTATTAATGGTGTCAGTCTTATGACACACTGTTCAAAATTGACATTAGCAGTCAGACTACTAACATTCACTGACCAGTCAAGTGAACAGATTGAGTCCATTTTCTCATGAAAGGCCCGCACTTTGCCTGCAATCATTCAGAAAGATATATGCAGCATTGTGAACAAATTTCTGAATATTAACGTAACTCATGTTCCCCCTGACCTGTCAGACTTGTCAAAGGTTACACAGAGTTATCAAGAGGTCTCTGAGTTTATGTGACTTTCAGTAAGGATAATGGTGCCATTGCAGTGTCAGAAGGCTTATCGAGAGCAATTACATCAGGCAAGTATGATATCCAAGTGAATGATTGAGCATGTTCTGACAGTAGTAAACAGATTGCAGCTTCAGACATAGTGCTGCAACTCATTTTTTACAATGCAATTGAGCCATTGTACACATTGGCAATGTCAGGCCATGCACCTGCATGGCTTCAAGCTGTATGTCCAGCCTTCGGGATAGTGCTGAATGCACACTGTGCGGATGGAACAATAATACTGAGAGAGATTCAGCAGGTTGCAGCTTGGATTGTCACCCAAGCATAAGATGTTTATACACAACTCGCACAACACAATCCAGCTCCCATCTCTGAAACTTTGCCCCAGAAGCCTTGGAATAAGACTGGGACATGCTATGGTCTGCCTGCAGTGCGAACTAGATGTACTTATCCAAAATTGTATTATGATGCTCAGTCACTGAACTTGGATGCTAAAGAAATGGGCGACTGCAACAAATTTTATAAAACATACTCACAGAACAACTTGACTGGTGGCATCCTTGTACTATGGTGTACATATTCTATCTGCCTTGGATTTCACTCAATATCTATTGCCAAAGGATGAAACAATGTCTTTTCTGCCATATACACACATTTTCCCTGTGCCCTAGATATCATTGTATATGACTTCGCATGCCAACTCACACTATACTGCCTTGTTTGTGAAGCATAGTACTTCTCCAACACATGATTTCTCAGTGTGTCCTATGGTCATGTGCCCTCTATTGATGATGATCTCGGTCATCATTCGATGACAGTACAGGACTCTAGAGATGCAGACAACTTCTTCATCCTGGCAGTTCTTCGTATATATAGTCTTGTCCCAGATTACGAAGGCACTGAATTCTGTTGGGGATTTAACGACCTTTCTGAATAACAGGTCCTCACTGTAGGTCCTTTGCACTGTGGCCAGGAAAGGGGTATCCTGTTCCAAACAGGCCTTCAGTGGAGGTCTATTGGTATGTGATTCAGCAATCATCAGATCCTCATCCTTTGCACCTGGAGTTAGTGTCACTAGAGGCGGATGGGAGGTCATCTCACTGGCCTCTTGATCTCTTGACTCCTGCACATTCTTGGGCAGCTGTGCTGAGCACTGGGTCATTCTGACATGCAGCTGAGCAATGCGGTTGGAGGGTAGGTCATCCCACTCAGGGTCTAGATGAATGTCTGCATTCACATAGTCCTGGATGGGTGCGAAGTCATCCACATTGTCGTTCTCATAGTACCTCAATAGGCAGTCCACAACCTTATTGGTCATGCCTTCTACATATTGGATTTTGTATTGGAATCGAAACATGTACTCATTCCAATGAATCTGTCAATTCATTGGATTGGTTACACCTTCGAAGTACTTCAATGCCTGATGGTCGGTGAAGGGACGCAGAGCGCGCTGAGGTGGGAATCACATCCACAAAGCAGTCTCACATTTTGGAGATACTACAGGGTGCTACACAACTGACCCTAGTCCAACAGCAGTTGGAAGCTGGTTATCGGAGGAGGGCATGCTACGAGCCCGAATGCTACTTCCAATTCCTCGACTACGATTTGCAACCATCTCAAAGTACCATTCGCCAGCTCGCGTCTACCAATGATTCCATGCATGACATTGTACAGTTCGCGTGCCACATTGTGCAATGTCTTAACACAAAGGCGCAAGTTTCCTGATGGCGATAAAAAGCTGAGGAACACGATTCCAGGAAAATAGGGACAGGACAATCGCGCACCAATGTCAGGGAGACCATCCAGTGGGTGGCCTAAACCAAAGTCCTCGCAGACAGTGGGGTCATCATACAGAACACGGGCAGTAAAACCACGAGGGATGACCACAGGAAGGTGATCTGCAATTCGGGGTATCATCCGACGACCACCTTCTACAGTGCGAGCTGTTGCTAGGTGTATTTCCACTTGGGCTAGGACAGGGATATCACGTGGAAGGGGTAGGATGATCTCCACGCTGGCCGCTTCAGACTGGGCTTGGACCATAAAGACCTCAGGAACATGTGAGGGTCAGACGGTGAAGGATCACATGCTCGTGGGGGCCTCACCAGCAGGACGTGCATCCAGACCGCCCATGCTTTCCACAGGATCAGATTGAAGGGCTCAGTAAAGATCTCAATGCGAAGAAGTGCTTCCGTGAAGGTGTATTTGTGAAGGATGACACTGGCATTCATGGATGGAAGATTGAGTTCAGGATGGGAGATATGCCTCTGAGGCAGGCGGGTGCTTATTAGGCGCTTGGGCGGGACTGGTGATGGACGACCCCTCAGATTGAGTAGGAGCATGTGGGGACGGGATTGCGAGATATGGCGTGATGGGCAGTGGTTCAGCGGAGTGATTGTTAAGCAGATGCAGGCAGTATCGAGAGGGCAGGAAAGATCAGGACCAGTTTAAGTATGAGGGCAGGGGAGGAGGTCAGAGTAGAACCCACCGTCCTGGAAGGTACGCTTGCAAAAGCCTCATTCACATTCCCATCCCATCTCGTTAGTGCGTCTTTGGGCAGTCTTGCATTTCTGCATTTTCTGGACAGTCTTGCATTTCTGCATTTCAGCGTTCTCCTTAGAGCAGTGCGATTTTACCCCGATGTGTTTCCAGCGATTATTGTGACTACAGAGAGTTTCCTAGCTACGCTTTTGGGCCACCCACCTCATACCTCTGGAATAGACTCTTCTCCTTTGTTGCATCTCAGACCCCACGCGGACTTGATTCCGCTCATACTCCTCCTTTCCAGCTTGCGACGGAACTACAATCTTGTCATTGGTCGCGATCATTATCAGTCGGCCGAGTAGTTTGTCCTCCCACTTGAGGAGGGCTTCCAGTATTGCGAGTGCCTCGTGCTCATATGTTTTATAAGCATATTGTGCACTCGTAAATTTCTTCGACAGGAAGCCAGCCGGGCGACATGTTCATCAGTCTGGTCCCTGTCCGTACATCGCTCCAACATCGTATAAGGATGCATCGGATATCACCCAGATGGGTTCTGGTTGACGTGGGTTGATTGGCTTCAGAATGGGTGCCTTGCACACCAAAGCTTTGATCATTTCAAAGCATTTGGTGTGCATTGGGTGCCATACAAATGTTCAGTCATTGTGAGCCATGTCCGACAATGGCGAAGTGTATGCCGTTATATCGGGCATGAAGTGTCTCAGGTAGTTCACAAGCCCTAGGAATCATTGCACTTCTTTGTAAGAGGTATTCACCATTTGCGAATATGGCTCATCTTGTCTGAGTCTGCGTGGAGTCCTCGGTCATCAATTAGATGACCTAGGCAATCCATGCTCCATGAGTATAGGTCGCACTTTGTCTTGCTGAGGTAGAGCTTTGCCTCCCTCAGCTTGCGGAATACAATTTCCAAATGACGTTTGTGTTCTTCAAATGTATCAGAGAACACAAATATGTCATTGAGGCATACGTGGACGTCTCGTCCAATGCAGTCACAGAATATCAATGTCATGAGGCATTACAATTGCCTTGTTGCATGACGTGACTTATGAATGTACCATATGAGGTGGAGAACACCATTTTTCAGATGTCCTCTGCCACCACACATATTTGTTCGTATGCATTGGACAAGTCAATTTTCGACTGGTATTTGGCATGAGATACATCCATGCGTCTCTGGTCCTGGTCTGAGAATGGGGTTACATCCTTTATGGTGTTGTCATTGCATTTACGCGTATCGACAACCATCCGTAGTTTCCCACTCTTCTTCATAATGCATATCATGTGCGCTGCCTGAAGAGCCTGCTTAGACTCCCACTAGCCAGTGTCCTGGTATCATTGAACCTTGGTTAGGAGCAATGGCTTCATTGCATCAGCACATCTCGATAATCGCTGTCGATACTGCTCATCGTTATTGATGAGTGGTATTCAATAGTTGATTTCATGGAACGGTGGAAGAATTAGGGGTGGGGGACACATTATGTCCCTCGTCTTCTCAATCCAGACTTTTTGGCATTCTTGTAGTTCCTCCTCGGATGCTATTGCATTTGAGGGTCCTACTAATGTGGCGCGAATTTCTTCGTCTTTATGGTGTTCATTCAGCGCAAATGCCATCAGGTCATTTAGGCCTGATAGGTTTGGCTGACCAAACCGGTCTCACTGTGGTTCATTCATCGAGTGTCTAGTCAGTGCGAACTTCTTCGAGATGTCAGGAAAACAGTCCTTTTTGAGCTGTTTCCTGTTTCTCATAGTTGGTTTTTCTTTCGTCTTGATGTTTTCATCATTCCCCTTCCCTCTTAGGACTGTCCCCAGATTCACACCACAAGACTGAAGCAGCTTCGTGGCCATTGGTCTCATTGCGGAGTCCTATTGTGGGTTGTCTGAGGTTATGGCGGTAATGGTACTGATGTTGTTGTGCACGCAGTAGTGTGAGTGTGACATATTCTTGCACTTCGCAAGGATTGTGACCTCGTCCACTTCTGTGTAGGTCAGTATCTTTTGGCATTGGATTGATATGGTGTGGTTCTCAAAGTCGAGGACCACGCCGTATTTATGCATGAACACAGTGCCTAGTACGGCATTGTATCTATCGATATCGACAACATCTAGGTAGTGTTGTGCCTTTACTGGGCCTATGGATATAGTGAGTTGTGCATCATAGTTAATGCATGTCCTGCTTCCTTTGGTGCCCAGTTGGAGACCTATCTGGTCGTCCAGATCAATTCCATCTGCCTTCAAGATGTATGCCATTTCCGGAGAAATGGAGTTCGTTGTACATCCCAAGTCGAATAGTGTATAGGTCTTGATTCCATTGATCAAGACCTCTGCACCTAGTGTTCGTTGCATCTGTGAGTTTCGCTGAGGCTGCATGGCTGGATCAGTTAGGCGTCATATGCGTGAATCATACAGCCATGCATTCCTTGAGGATTGTGCATCCATTGCAGGTCCACTAGCATGAAGGTGTACACTTTGCATACACTTTCCAGGCTTGTGTTGATGCATGATGCCAAATCTCATCGATCCCAGATGAACTTCATAGTCATCATTCCAACCATCGTCTCCAGATGGGGGTTCACGCTCATCTGCTAATAAGTACTGTGATCCCTCTGGAGCCCAGTCTGACTCAGGATATGTCTGTTATCCTGTGTCATTCCGGTATGGCCCTTCATTACCATCAGTTTTGGGAGTCATCTCCTGTGGAGCTGACTCCTGAACTGTAACCTCTGGTTCTGCTAGTTCCTGGTTCATCTGCTCCTCATTCCCAGAGCGGTCGTCAACTACATGTTGTGCGTGTAGTCACACTGGCTGAGGTTTACCATAGTTCGGGCATGTCGGGTCTGTCGAGAAGTGGCCCTTGCCACTGCAAGAATAACAAGTGATGTTTGCATTCGTCGCCTTGTTATTCGCTGGTGGTCTCAACCCCGAGACTGCCAGGTTTGTAATAGGACGACCACCCCCATGACGTTGTCCATTGCATGGGTTCATTGTTCTATGGCCAGCATTACCAGCCTGCTGTGCATGTCCTGGGTGTGCCCCTCCTCATCCTTGTCCTTGCGGGTGGTAGGTAGGTCACGTATCTCCCATCAATGATATCATCAGCACAAGGAATGACATGGCCTTGCTTGGAATCTGGGTTCCCATATGGTCCCCGGTCTTCTGGGGCTGTCAGCAGTCCTTGTATGTATGGTATTGGTCCAGCCATCTGTTGCCCTGTTCAATCGCCAATGCCAATCGATACAGTGCATCAATGGTGTGTTTCTCAGGCAATAGTAGGTGGGCTAGATGCATTACTTCTACCATTGGTAGTGGTAACATGTCCATAAACCTCTTCCGAAAAGCATATTCCATTGGGTATTGCACCATGCGATCTGAGTGGTGTAATAGCCTGTCGTATAGCTCACTCACACCACCGCGTGATAAGCTGTACATCACCTTGTCGTACTTCTCGGATGCTATTAGCTCTGAGTCCTTGTGTAGCAATCATCTGTGAAGGTGCATCACCACATCCTCGAAGTACCATTGTCGTACTTTGCAGTTTGGTGACTGCACATTCAGGAAAAACCAGTTGGCAGCATCATCTTTAAGACTTTGCCCCAATATTCACAGACGATCTGCATCCATGGCATTGCCAGTTATGCAGAGAGTCTTGAGGTATTCCAGTAACTTCTGTAGCCAGACCTCGAATGCATCAAGATCATCCTTCCCATCATATTGCGGCGGTGGAAGCATCTTGGTGACTCTGAGGTATGCTGGTGGTTCATCGATGAGATCTCTTGATACCATCTCATCCACCATTGTATGGATCCTCTCAATTGCAGGAGACGTATCCAGAGGTATCGCTCCTGGGCCATGCGATCATTATACAGTCACGTGGCTTGTGTGCATACCTGTAGCAGCTGTCATATTCAATCGTGGGAATTGAGGGGGTCAGTTCACTGCAGTAGTGACTGCTGGGTTTGGCTGGGTCACTCCCGATTGGAATGTTACATTCCAAGCAATGTTGGGCTGTTGCATAGCCACCATTGCATTCACTGCAGGACCTTGCATTGATCCTGCAGGCCATGTGTTAGTTCCCGCCATGGACTGTCCTTGTTGTACATGCGGGTATCCAGGTCCTGCAGGTCATGTTGGTCGAGGAGGCAGTGGTGGTGGAGTCGATCCATTGGATCATGGTAGCTGTTGTCCTCCAGGTTGGTGTTCTGGAGGTGGTGTTGCGGGCCTTTGACCATTTCTCCTGAAATGGTTGAAGTCATTTCCATCATCTCTGGGGTAGGGACTGGAGTCATCTGAATCGTCACTTCTGGGTTTGCCTTTAGGAGCTGCTACTGGAGCCGTTCCAGATTGAAGTGATCCCCACATCATGCGAGGCATTGAGGATATTGGTGGTTGTACTCCGAATGCCCTCAATGCCCTTTCGGACTCTGAGGCCATCCGGTCCAGGTATCTGGTGTATATTAACATCCTTCGATCATAATCCTCATTCAGCTCTCCCTCTTGCTGTGATCGGGTCAGCCAATGGTACGCGCTCTCAAGATTTATATCGAGAGCACCTGCTGTCAGGTCCTCGACCTCTGAGGGGTATAATCCTCGCTCTACTGCTATCTCCTCGATGGAGTTCCTCATTCCTGAGGAGACTGGTTGATCCATCGGGTCAACTTCATCTCCTGAGGAGTTTCCGAGTTTGTCCATTATCCTTTCAAATCACTCATTTTGCACTTTGTGGGTCCATTCATGTGCCTCATGAATGGCCTGCATCTTGTGTTCTTGCTTTTCCTGCAAGGTGTCAAGTTTGCAGTTCACCTCTTCTTGAGCCTGCTGGAGTGCCTCTCAGGCTCTCTCTCTG